CCTTGCCGAAGCAGCTAAAACCTCACATTGTGTCTCCAACCCCGTCGGAATTTCTATTAGTTACCGGAACAGAAGAAAAAGAACCTGGAGTTGGCATGTTTGTCAATCTAGATGGAGACGTTGTACCGCGTGGCACGCTCAATTTCCACCGTTACCCTGAGTTCATTGTAATCGATAGCGGCGAAGAGAACAACCTTGTCGAGTCGACTGAGAATACGCACGATCAATACATCCTTGCGGTCATAGAGACAGAACAAGATGGGAAACGCTGCAAGTGGTTGGAAGTACAACCGTGGGACGTTGACCCAAGGGAGGAGGAGAACCGTAAGAGCTGGCTAGAGGTACCTTCGGCCGAGGACATGCCGTCTTGCCCTGTGGGAATCTGTCACACAATGAGCTCCAGTCAACTCGCATTCGGTGAGCTGGGGAGCTTGTTACAGATGGTCCGCCTGAAGACGCCCTCCTTGTCTCCTCACATACCAGTGACAGATCCAAGGACCCAGGCTTCCATTGAGCAGCTTCAGAAGGAGAAGGAATTGTTCGAGTCCCAAGAATTGACTGATTCTGATGGAGTAAGGAAGGGCGATGGGTCGTCAGAGCGGGGGTGGGAAGCAGAACGCAATAACGAAGAAGCCAAATTCGCCCGGGCTCTGGGTCAGACTCAAAGCAGCTTGGTAATGTGGTCTGGGCGTCGGATCTGGCGAGTGGTTAGAAATCCATTGACAACACAGCTTGATGGTGCTTTGCAAGATGCCCAGGGTTCAAAGGAGCTCATGTACGGGAATTTGAAAAGGGATCCTATCCTAGATGTTTTTGAAGAAGTTCAGGCCGCCGAGCCGCGCTCTGAAGCCGAGTTCTTGGGACTCAATTTTCTGAAACAAAAGTCAAGCCTCCTGCTCTTTGGTGACCTGCTCTTCATGGATGCAGCTGGTCGAAAGGGGGCGGCAATTCAGGTAACGGAAAGAGTGCTGACTACTGGCGGGTTGGATCCGCGGATTGTTCTCTTGTTGATCCCACAGCTGCGTCAAGAGGCCTTGCAGGGCCCGCAGGGTATCTGGGTTCATGGAGGGCTAGCGCAGATCGCGGAAGTTTATCTACAGCGCCTTGAAAAAGCAGACGAACAATACAAAGATCTCAATGCTCTCGATGATGAAGTCGTGAACATGATCAAGCGCTTTCTCCTTTCATGGCAGCAGAAGAGGGGTTATGGCAGCATCGCTGATGAGACCTATGTCTTTGATAGCGTCGATGCAGCTCTGTTGCATTTGCTCCTGGAACAGGATTCTCAATTGGCGATGGAGCAGCGTTCGGTCTCTCCAATCCGTGCTGAGCTGAATAAGGTTGTTGATACCTGGAAAGGCAGCTTCGACAGGGCTGTGGTACTGTTAGAGAGTTATCGCAGACTATATGTTCTCAGCCGGCTGTATCAGAGCCAGAAAATGTCCAGAAATGTTCTCAAGACATGGCAAAGAATCGTCGAAGGAGAAGAAGATGTGGGCGCGGAGGTGACTGGGCCGGGCATTGAAGCGCAGATGCGCAAATACCTCGTCAAGATCAAAGACGCACAACTCGTCGAGGAGTACGGGTCATGGCTTGCTGGGCGTAACCCTCAACTTGGAATCCAGGTCTTCGCAGACAAAACAAGTAGGGTTAGACTCGAGCCAGCTGATGTGGTGAAAATGTTGAAAGAGCGCGCCCCCAACGCAGTCCAGGTGTACCTGGAGCATCTCGTTTTTGCCAAAAATGTGAGTTCTAACATACTTTCTTACCGGTACACCTTGTTCGAACGCCTAACATATGCAGTACACGCAATATGCGGACGACCTTCTCGGTTACTACCTGGATACTGTCCTATCAGTCCTCGAGTCCTCGCCCGCCGCTCGGGAGTCTCTTGCAGAATCCTACTCGACCTACCGCGCCCTGCGGCCCCCTAAACCGACGTACATGAACTTCATAATGGAAAACACCCCCTCGGAATCTTGGTGGCAGTCGCGACTTCGGCTGCTGCAGTTGCTCGGTGGAGGGAGCAGTAGCCAATTCTCTTCGACGCCATCACCCTCGAAACTGACATATTCAATTCCGGCGGTCCTCGCCCGGATCGAACCCTTTCAGAATGAGCTCGTCTCCGAGTCGGTAATCCTGGATGGCTTGCAGGGCCGCCACCGGGAGGCCCTCCGCCTTCTTACGCACGGGCTTGGCGACTATGACTCTGCCGTACGGTACTGCCTCTTTGGCGGACCTCGCAGTACCAGCTCAGCAGGGACTGTCGAACTCGCTGACAAGCCACACCAGTCGGAGCTCTTTCGGTATCTTCTAGATGAATTCCTTCAGATCCAGGACGTGTCAGAACGAATCGAGCGGACCAGTGATCTCCTGGCACGGTTCGCCGCTTGGTTCGACATCAAAGATGTCCTGCAGCTGATCCCGGATGATTGGAGCGTGGATATCCTCAGCGGATTCCTGGCGCATGTCTTCCGGGTCCTAGTTTCGCAGACACGAGAAGCGCGGATCGAGCGGGCGCTCAGCGCGAGTTTGAACTTGCGTATTGGCGCGGAGTATATTGAAGGAATGGAGAAAGGTGGTGGTTGGCTGGAGGACGATTCGGGGGTGAGAAGGTTGAAGGATGCTGCAGCTGCTGATGCCGACAGAAATCCAGCAGCGGTGCAAGTGGCCGACGGCGGAAGTGACTTTGGGGATATGGTGGAAGCTTCACAATCCGGGCTGTGATACGGGCGTATTGACCTCATTGTATATACCATCCCTACAGCGACGACTCTTGTAATGAATAATGCGTGTTATACTCATGATCACATCTCGCAAGACAGTTCAATATGTACAGGTAAAAAACAAAGGTGCAAAAGATAGCTAATCTCTTCAATCTAGGTCCGGCACCGGTAACCCATTGACGATGCGAACCTTCCGGCCCAATTTATCCAGCGCCACCTTGGAGTTTTTTGCGCGCAGATCAGCGGTCTCCTGGTCGGTAACGAGGACAAAGTCGTAGGTGAGCAAGGCGTGGTCTTCGGGCACGTTATACTTCTTTGCGTATTCGGGGCCCGCCTTGCCGATATCCACGACGAGGGAGTTTTTGACGCCGAAGACAGCGTCGGAGGTCTCGTAGGGGTCGTTTCGGAGGTAAAGAGCACTGCCTCATTCATTAGTCCCGTTTCACTTTGCGGACCGACAAGGGACAGAAAGAAGAACAAAGAACATACGTAATCAAATGATCATACCCCTCCTTCTCGAACATGAAATGCATATGCGAGGGGCGATACGGATGCCGATGCAGCTTCTTCAAAAGCTTACCCACCGGCCCATCGTGCGGGATCGGATACGGCACGGGCGTGATAGCATTGAACCAGAACACGCCGTCCTTGTCGCTGCGCATGATGCAGCGCCCGTCGGGCCCGTCGCGGCCGGGATACTGCACGTCGTAGTGGCCCGTTGAGTCGGTCTCCCAGATATCGATCTTGACGCCGTCGAGCGGGTTCCCGTTTGTGTCTTTGATGGTGCAGACGACGAGGAGCGGCTCGCCTTTGGGATCGTGCGACATCAGGCCGCCCTGGGTGATCTCTTCGGCTTCGTGGGTGTGGAAGGGGCCGAGGACGGTGCCTTCGGTTGAGCCGCGGGGCTTGGGGTGGTCGATTGAGTCGACAAGGATGGAGAGGCCGAGGACGTCGGAGAGAAGGATGAATTCCTTTTTCGCTTGCGTTAGTTCTCCGCATGTTTTGACTATGTGCCGGGGTAGATACATACCTGTCGTACATCGGAGGAGATCTGGCCCACCTCCTTCAAGAAGGTGAGGCCGGTCATCCATTCCTGGGAGCTGAGTCGGGTCTCCCGGGTGAAGTCGTGGAGATGCGTGACCAGACGCTCGAGGACGTATTTCATGCGTTCATCTTCGCAGAGAGAATTGATCCGGATGACGTTCTCGGTGATGTTGTCGACCGTGAGGTCTTTCATAGGGGGGATCTTGACTTGTGAGGGGTCCATGATGGATGTTTTGTATGAAACAACAGAACAATCAATCATCAAGAGTCTAAAGACGAGATGAATGCTCAGGCTCTTCAACGACGGGAACCACGAGGTTTAATAGACCAGACCCATCAGCCTATTGTCCAACGAGGCACCAGAAGACACCACCCCGCAATGACCACCGGTTCCGTGAGGGAGCTGAGGAGCCGATGGATTGATGGGTAATAATTGTATAAGCAAGGGCTTGCTTGATGGACCTGGTCCATCATTGGTCTGGTCGAAGAATCGGCAATACCCCGCAAAGACTATTATTTCCGAAGCTTGTTGAGATAACTACCTGAGGGGTACTCTCATGCTCCACCTAGGACAAGATCATCATCATCATCTTCATCATCATCGTACCCATACTGGCGGTCGGAATTCCCCCAGGCCTGGTTCCCCTTTTTGTCGTTCTGCCGACTTCGGCTCGAGAGCGGTCAACATGCGGTCACCAATCAGTGCAGCCTCAGGCATGCCACTTTCCGCCTCAGGCTCCTCTCAGCTTTCCATGCCGTTCGGTAAATCCGACAGATCCAGGGTGCTTGCGGGGTGTCCCACTTCGCCTTAGATGAGGTGATCGTGATTATGATCATAAGTAACTCTACCCAGGTCCAGTAGTCATTATTATCTGTGCACAGTCAATTCTTCATCGAGATACAGCTGCGTCAGTGCCATTCCATCGCATCAGCTGTGCTTCTCTGCGTCAAACGGGTAATGTCTTTTCCTGCCGGTTAAGTCCTAGCCGATATAACTCTCTACGCGAATCGTTATGTTGAGTCGCATGATGCCAGACTGTCAACTTATAGAGAATATAGTCCAAATACAATCACCCAGGGATATCCGCTGAACTCGCTCAAACAGTACAGACTCAATGGATAAGTACAGAAATTGTTCACCTAATCAAACATGGATCTCGATGCCTGCTCAGATCCCCAGAAAGTATAAAGAAACGAAACCAAGTCGCAAGGCCAAGAAAAGAAACGAGCTTAAGCTCTCACTAGCTTGCGTTCTCGTTCTCGATCACCGTTCATCTGCTCATGACCATTTTCCTTGACCGCAGCGGCCACTCGCGCATGATGGTCCACCGTGTCCATGATCGCTTGCATGAGCCGGGAGTTGGCGTCCGGATCGTCGTCATCAGGCACTGGATCGTTGTTGCGATTGATGCTGACGCGTCTGTCGTGATTTCCCACCGCGCTACCATGGATCTCACTCATTGCACGTCGGGGAGCGGTATCCTTGAGCGATGGGGTCCCCGGCGCGGGTCCCCCCGTGGGTGCGGAATCTCTCCGACTGTTGTAGGCCACGCCGCCTTCCTCTCGTGACCGATCGTGCTCTGGAGCGTGAGCCACAGACGCTGGGGTCGGTGCAGCAGACGTGGTGTTCATTGACACGGCACCAGGGGTTGGAGCCGAGGCGGGAGTGTGGGCAGCCGGAGAGTCTTTCGACTGAGCGCTGTCTCCGAGCTCACGAGTTGCGCCGTCCGACCGCGCCTCGCGCAATTCATCCTCCTTGACATCCTTCCAGGAACACTTGGCATGCTTTTTCGTGCAGCCCATGCATGCGGTCAAATTCTTCAAACAATCCATGTGAAGCCGACGGCAGCGATCGCAGGGTGGGAGAATACGCTCTCCCCGTTGTAACTCCTCCATGCGGGCAACCATTTCCAACTTGAATGGACCGCCATCGTCCTTCTCCATATGGTTGGCCTTGGGCGGAGGCAGTAATGACGACGGCGTACTGGGGATCGCGACGGTAGCAGGTGCGGAGGTGTACATATTGTACTCCCCAGCGTCCGACACTCTCGGCCGCGGCCGCGACGACTGCCGGTTAGCTGATCCAGTTGACTCTTCGTAGCTGCGCGCTTGCCGATCTTGCGTAGTGAAGAACTTTTTCATTAGCTCGGCACGTGTCGTAGGAGATGCGCCTTTGATGGACGTTCCATTGATGATGGTAACATTGTCCGTGTTTGAGTGGGAGAACATAAACTGCGACGACAGCGCGTTTTCCTCCACGGGAGGTTCTCCGGGATTCATACGGGCGGTATTCACTGCGACAAATCCAGTGGAGGGAGAGTGAGCGTTGGATGGAGGATTGCCATTGAGCGGGTTTGGAACCGCGCCAGTCGCCTCGCGCCAAATCGGACTGAGCGAACGAGGCTGCTGTGATTGTGGTAGTTGATGGGGTTGGGGCGGGTGATGGGCCTGGAGAGAGACGTCATTTTCCCGGCGCGTGACAATAGCCGTTCTGCGATTTTTCAAACGATGATTGAGCTGTCTAGCTCGAGCCGATACTGCAGTAAGGACACACTAGTAAGCTTCGCGCCACTGAAGGAGACCGCATGAACGCATTTGAAGGGAGTCATCAACCAACCTTGATCGGCAACTTGAATAATCTGCTGCAAATTCTTCTCCAAGATCTCCAGCGCACCCAATTCTTTCTCCTCGTCCTCGATGATCGGCTGCGGCGGGATCATCTTCTGTGGCATCCCGGATGCAATAAGCACATAATCTTCCTCGCTGATCTCAACTCGACACTGCTTGGTATAGAACTGGCAGACGCGCACTCCATTGCGCGACTTCTCCAGATTGAACTGTTCCGGCTTGCTCTTGGCAAATTCGACGACATCCAACCAGGTGATGTTAGGGGGTTCTTTACCGTGCGACTTGAGCACACGAGGAGGGCCGTCAAACAGGCGCTCGAAACGCTTGATCAAGATGGGTCCCAGAGGACATGCGCCGAGGTTACCTGCGATACTTTCGTGGCGATGAAGCACGCCGTCATATTCGCCGACTAGGTGTAAAATAGCTGGCATAGTATCATCGAGAGAGACTAGAGGCAGATTGTCCGGGTACTGACGAGCGAGGTAGTTAATCTGGAGATGGTTCGAATGGCTCTTAGGTACTTTGGAAGCAATCGGATAGTAGTCGCCGGACGGCGACCTGGGCCGTTTGTTCGACGGCTCTGCCGCCGCTGGGGGTCTGGACTCCATGAAGCTGTGCAACGTGTGTGGTCCAGTGATTCACCCAGGGGAGCAGGATAGGTGAAATGATGAGAAAGATGGTGAAAAGGTTTAGAGAGGAGTTGATGCTATCGCGGAAAAATCGAAACCACAAAATCGAGCGCTGGCGGGGATGGAGAGAATTAGGCGATGAGGGAAAAAAAGGTCAAATGGCGATCGATGGTGAGCGACGGCGGAGCATAAGGCTCCAGCTGCGGATTCCAAAGTAGCCACTGGGCTGCGAGGAAATCTTTCGAGTTAGGTAATAGGGAACCCCAACAAACAATGACTTATGGAGTAAGGGTGGGTGAAAAGAAGGCGGAGAGTATGCAAGACGCAGAAAGAGACGGAGCAGATACGACAGAAGAAAAGAATTAGAAAACGACAGCAGCTAAGATGAGCGTTTGGAGAAAAATGTTAGGACATAAAAGGGGGCCAGAGAGATCCGGGGGAAGGGAGAGGGAGGAAAGGACAACAGGAGGAGGAGGAAGAGGAAGAAGAGGAAGACGCCGAGGAGGTGGAGAGGCGGACGGGATGGCAGCGACACAGTGACAGGCCAATTACTCGTTGTTGGGTATCTAAGCTGACAGGTAGATAGAGCTAGGTAGTCGGTAGGTAGGTACGGAGTACGGCCAGGAGTACTGTTATCTGTAGATGGATAGATAGGAGGGCCTTCGGAGTATATTTCTAACAAGCGCAGGTTGGACAAAGAAGGGTGGATGGGATGGACGGTCAGAAAGAGCGAACAAGGATGAAAGGGCGCTATTATTGGACCATCTGAATGGCCACAAATACCTGATGACGATGGGAAACGAAGATGGGGGTGGTGATGGCGCGGATGGCGGAACTGGACATCCTCGGAGTCCTTCTACGGAGTACACTCTAGATAATCAATGCCTTAGGCCACACATCTAAAGATGGGTGCGATCGGAACAGTAATGTATGCAGACTTATAGAACAGGGATGATGATCATTAAGTAATGAATCAAACTACTGGCGAGAACGCAAAGGAAAGAAGAGAATCAGAGGCCTGACAACATTCTAAAAGTTTCCCGCGTCGTCCAGGCTCATTTTGATGCGCTCCATTTGACTGTGATGTGATGGGAGCTGGATTCTTTGCAAACGTCAGGGAGCGGAGTCCCGCCGGCCTGTTCCGCTGGCCATTCGTTGTGGCTCGGAAAATCGGAAAAGACGGGTAATTACTGTACAGCCCAGCACTACCTAGGTAGGTAACCTACCTGGCCTAGGCATCCAGAATTTCCTCCCAATTACGCAGGATCATGGAGCATTCGTATAAAGTAGAAGACGGGAGAATCTTTACTTGAAGGAGTAACATGAAAGTTAATAGGTACAGATAATCAAAAGTCGTCATTGCAGTAATTGAACAGCACTCTATTAGCAGTTCTTGAAGCCAACGGTGGCCTCAGTTGGTCAGAACCCCTTGCGGACGGACTGGGTCAACGGACCTGGCAGCCCAGACACGTTGTCGGAATGACGCGACAAGAGGGATTTATCGCTACAACGTCCATTCACGAGTAGGCTCATCCTTTCAGATGGTCCCAGGCAAAGTGGAATCCAATACTTTGTGTCCCAACTGAGAGCACGAAGTACAGAGTCTATTGATCATATCTTTAAGGCCTCGCATTCAAAGGCAGGAGACTCTTACTGACACCAAAGGGGAATGAAGTTGCGCTCCGCCCGTCTCGTGTAACAATACAGTAGGAGTAATACAAATTCTGCGTATAAAATTGTTGCCTAAGGTTGGCAATTTGATCCAACAAATGTCGGACATTTGCCTCCTACTCCACTGTGTTGCAGCAAAACAGGTAGCGAAAGCGGTATAGCGCAGAATACATCGGGAGTATTCTTGTGGTACGGGCTTGTTCGACACAGAATATCAAGGTAAGATTACCAGCTGCTGACAACCTGGGTAAGGTACTCAACGGGGAAAGGCCAATAGGTACCGCCAGAACGCAAAATGTCAAGTGACTAGGCCAAATTTTCTTGCTCTCACCAGTGATTAGTTCTGTACTCCATATGTGTGGGCAATAGAGAACCTATTATTATTACCACCCATTTTTGTTTTGTTTGACCCCTCGTCCCCTCTTCGAAAATCCCTCATACTCACAGCTACCTTACTCATACTCAACCTCCGCCTATCACAGTTATCTCGCCTGTAAGTTGCAGGTGACTCCCCTCACTGGTGCTACTCTACCCCTCGGGTCATCCTGCACTTTAGAGAGCCAGGGCAGCCGGCTTGAAACTACCCAGAAAGGTCAGATCACGCCCCTCTTCCTGAACCTGCCAGCACACCGCGTCCAATTCAATCCATCCATCGATTCCAGATCCCCCCTCATTCTTGTTCTTCCGCGCGCGTCTTTCTCCCCGTCCCACCTCCATCCCCTCTCTTCTCTTAACCTTTTTTAACATTTTATTATTAAGCCAGATCAGACCAAAATCAAACCATTTAAAAATCAACACCCAATTAAATAAACCAATTCTTTAGATCAGATCACCAGGCAATCCAGGCTAGCCAAGCCATGTCCGAACGAGGCTCTTTCCGGGGTGGTCGTAGCCGCGGCGGAGGTCACGACAGGTCTGGCGGTCGTGGCGGTGCTCACTCCTCTCAGCACAGGGGTGGCGGTGCAGGTGGCGGTGCGCAACAGCAGCAGGAGAAACCCAAGAAGGAGAACATTCTTGATTTGTCCAAGTATATGGACAAGGAGGTGAAGGTGAAGTTTAGCGGAGGACGAGAGGGTGAGTTTATCACCAACTGATTGTTCTTCTTGCCTACTAAGATCAATTCTAGTTAGCGGTATGCTCAAGGGTTATGATCAGCTCATGAACCTGGTGTTGGATGATGTCAAGGAAAGCATGCGTGGTAAGTGACTGAACAGCATCTCAAAGCTGGATGAAGTATTTAACGCCTGCTATCTAGATGACGAGGGAAATGAAACTACCCGCTCCCTTGGTCTCATCGTCGCCCGCGGCACTCTGATTGTGTTGATTTCTCCGGCCGACGGCAGCGAGGAGATCGCCAATCCCTTCGTCCAGCAAGAAGAATAGATTAGGCGAGCGTATCAGTCCTCTAAGAAAGTGAAACATCCTTCTCGTCTTGTGTCGTCTCGTCAGGCTCTCCGTGAAGAAAGTGCGGACAACTTGTGATACACGACGCCCGCGCTATCGGCTCCGATTTCACTTTCCTTTGTCTCTCGTCCTCCAGAGCTTGTCCTGGAAGGTCATCGCCTTTGACAAACCAGTGAAAGAAATCGAAGAGTCAGTCCTCACCCTTTCGCATATACATCGAAGGCTTCTGCAGCATGAAGATGTGCTTGTGTCTGGTGGATGGGATTTCCAAGTCATGCAAATGTGGGATTCATGGATGACTGCATATTCTGCGTCTGCCTTTGATCCAGCATACAATGTCATGTAATAGATACACAATACTTTGAACTCATGAATTAACGCGCCAACAAATCTATCGTGCTTGGCAGAGACATGCACCAATCGTAGTATCTTGGCCGACCACATCTGTGTTCGAGAAGCTGAATTGATAAGGTCCTAGGTGGATCTCTGCCTACCGAAAGCGTCAAATGGCTTTATTAAAACTCATTGTGGAGAGTGTCTGCCGACTTTACCAATTTGCATTATCCCTGGACGAAGAGGCATGGCTGTCTAGTATCCGATGCTGATCTTTTTGGCTTTCAGCGCTGCAAGCATTGGCGAAGTACGTATATGTCACTGGAAGAAACATACGGATATTCTTCTAGAAGTATTTTTCAATTGATGCTTATTGCTGGGAGTGGTCTAGTTAGTGGGAGACATCGGAAATCCTCACCATCATCAGTACTGAATACCTTAGGCATCTAATAGTATACCAGGCCGTCAAGGTCCTCAAGGATAGTAAGTATCCACTTAGCATGATTCACACTAACAACCACGAGTCTACAGCATCTCACTGAAACAAGACTGAATTCACCATTCCTTATTATGCATCTTAAGCAATATTGGTATTATTATGCAACAAGCCCAGAGCCTATTGGCGCTATTTGCCGTTGTCGCTGTCGTCATGGAATCTCCACAGCCCGAAGCTAATCTAGGTCCACTGGGCCAGGCTCAAGTACGAATACGATTGCCTGGGGGTTAGAAGTGATTGGGTAAGACTGTCATTGGCATGGGAATTGATGGATATTCATGGAATCATCCTTGTTCAATGAAAGTCTGGCTGATCTTTTCGATCGCCCCTTGATTGTTTGATTGGGTTGATTGATCTATGCACTGTAAGCGCTTCCGGAGATTCCACCATCGGCTCCGTCATCATACTATATGTCATGATGTGATTGAGGTGCCTTAAATATGATCTGTGGCCACTCGTAAGTACAGTTTCGAGTTTTATATCATATTTTATCTTCTTGTGTATATGTCTGTAAAGAAAAGTTATCGACTGACGATATGAAGCTCTACCGTCTCTGGCCAGTGCTCTCGCTCTGTGCCGCCATCGTTATCCCAGATGAGCAGGTTCTAAGTGACATTGCTAAGCTCGATGCGAACAAAAACGGCGTGAACAAGGACTCGACATCCTTCCTCTCCTCCATCGAATCCTCCATCCAGGACGCCGCAACCGACTTCAGAAATGCCCTAGACGAGGCCCTTGAGCTCGCCTCCGATGCATTCAACACCCAAAGGCTGCAGTCCGGTGCCTCTGAAGCTGCCTCCTGGATTACGAATTTCTTCGAACATCCCACCGACGCGGAGAATCTTCCCAAAGATCTCAAGCAATTGCCGCAGTACCTGCATCCACGTCGGCCTTTCCCGCCTCATCATCCCTCCTTCAACAAGACCATCTACGAACTGATCAAATCCAGCAAGTATACCACCATTCTCGCGAAGATCATCGACGAGGATGACGAGCTGGTCCAGTTCTTGAACAGCACTGAGGCGAACCATACCTTCTTTGCTCCTACCGACGAGACCTTCTCAAAGATCCCGCA